TGATAATGAACGTTTGGCGATGAACATAAGTTGAAGTGCAATATCGAATATGGCTTTCAATTAAAGAGTGGTATAGGGATATCAAACGGGATGTATTTAAATTGTTGGCTATTTTCGTAATAGCACCTAGAGATGACCTTGTTTTAGATAGATTCAAGTTTGTGTGCTGTTTCCAACACAATTGATCATCAATTATTACACCCAAAAAGCGCGTTATTCCATTCAATTCCAGATTTTGTTGCGGTGTTGGACACTTTTGCTTTGGCGCGCTAAATACCATATATTTAGTTTTTTCCAAATTAATAGTGAGTTTGTTCGCAGACAACCCAGTTTGAATATTTTCCAAGTCAGTATTTGCTTTGGTCAAAAGTTCAGGCAAGTCTTTGCCTCGAAGATATGGCGTTGAGTCATCAGCAAAAAGTATGATATCAGAGTGATGAAAAGAATTTGGAAAGTCGTTAATAATGATTGAAAAACATAATGGAGCCAAAATAGAACCTTGTAAAGTGCCTACAGTCAAACTACAGTATGTGCTAGATGCTACGTCATTGCATATTACTACTTGTTTCCTTCCTGATAAGTAGCCTTAAACCAATTATACCTCTGACCTCTAACACCAACATGATACAATTTGGCTAGTAATATGTCATGGTCAATACTATCAAATGCCTTGGAAAGGTCCAAGAACATACTAAGAGTATACTCATTCTTTTCAAATCCTAAAATTTTACTGACAAGTAGATTTGTTGCATGATATGTTGAGTGATTTTGGCGAAAGCCAAATTGCTGGGAATAAAAGAAATTTTTTTGGTCTAGGAAATGGTTGAGTCTCTTGTACATAATTTTTTCTAGAATTTTGAAAAATGCAGGAAGTAAGCTGATCGGTCGGTAGTTTTTTACATCCTTTGCAATTCCTTTTTTGCACAATGGAATAACTTTGGATAGTTTGAACTGGTCTATGTATTTACCAGATTGTAAGGAGCAGTTAAAGATATGCGTGGGAGCACAAATACAATTCCAGGGCATCATTCGTATAACTTTGTCTTAGTCTAGTAAAGTCTTGAACATGTACCGGTATCCCGTCTCTTTTATACCGTTAAACTATTATGCAGATACTGTTACATTTTTGAGGCAAATAGACTAAACATACATACAAATAGCTGTGATAGACTGGCCTGAAATTCTTTACCGGTATATTTTTTTTTTAATTGTTGTATGCGATGAATCATAATGATGGTTTGAAACACCTATTTTACACCTATTTTTGGTTTGATACCCTATTTTACAGGCGCCAACTCGCGAAACCGCTCTGAAAATAAGCTCTGAAAATTTCGCAATGATAAAGTATAAAAAGAATTTTATGGGGTCAAAGGTCGGGGAAAGATCCATAGCAATATGAACATATGTCTTTCCGAGTGTCGACTTACTTGTTTACTATCATTTCAGCAAGTAAAAACTGAAGCTTAGCGACCACTCGGACACACTTTCTGTGATAAGACAAAATGACAGATTCATTCAAATCTAAATTCTGAAAACATATGAGAATTTGATCCATGACGCCCGACATTACGAAAACGAGACAATGTTCACGACCATGATTGAAATAGCGTCCGAGCGGCATTTCAATTGTTACGTTTCCCTTAAAAATGTTGTTTAGCTATTGTTTCGGTTAATTACACGCAACAGAATCTTCTTAAAAACTAAATAGCCTACGTGTTTGGTGGATTTTTAGGCAATAATGGTAATATGGATTTTTTTATGATAAAATATGCCAAAATATAAAACAGGGGACAACAATTTGAAGTGCAACAGCTGAAGGATGTCCCATGGAATACCTTTGTTCCGCGGAGCGCCGGTTGAAATTCAATGAGCTAGAAAATTAAAACTTGTCATACCGATGCGTGATAATTACCGACTTTCATACGACTCAACAGAGAGTGACGACTTCTACCAGACCACTTTTTGAGGGGACGAGTTGATTTTGCTTTGTATTCCCATGTGGTTGGGCGGTAGATCCGAGAAATGCTGTACTAAACGTTTTTCGTAATATTTCACTGTTTTCAGGTACACGATAAACTAGTTTGACACGATATTCGGTCCTCTGACGGTACTGCAGGACCAGCACGGGTGCACCACTGCCAGGTATCGTACCGATACTCAACCCAATCGACAAATAGACCGTGTCACTGTACAATACATGCAACTTAACATAACTTAGTCAGTATTAAAGTTAAAATAATAAAAAGACTGTTGAAGCAACATTTACACACGGCTAGCTTTTCGAACCAAGTACTGTCACCGTGTGTAGTCTGAAACGGCGCGTAAGGCAACCGTCCCCTCAAAAAATGTTGCTGGCAGCATCGGTCAAAGTTCATAACAGTTGGTAATGAGTATTGCTGTTGTATTTTGTTAAACGATGGATTTGAAGTTATGTCAGCATAATTAAAATATCATTTTTAGAATGATCGGACCCCGGTAATTTATAAATTCTGAAGAAAATAGTTGAGTAGCCCTAGTCTAGTACGAAGCCCTAGTACAAAATTCCACAAACCCGTGACTAACTTGGCATCCTAAACCTTCTAAGCTAAGCAACCTTCTAGCTAGGTGTAGATGTCTTTAAAAGGAGTTTACAAATGCAAGCTTAAATACGGCTAGTGTTGATGTCATGTAGTAACTTTAGTGTACATAGTTAGTGATAAACTGACTTTTTTAACAGGGACTCATAGTGTATGACTGTATGCCATAAGAATACCCCGAAATCTATTAAACAGCAAATCTACGCCCGCACAACACCCTGCCTATTCTGTAAAATGCAAGAGGCGTCTACCTCGTGGCAAGAAAAATGAAGGCCGCAAAGCGCGGGGATATGAAAATAAGAGTGGTCCAAGGCTGTCGGCGTCTGTGGCGCAAAATTATTTTTGCAATGTTCGCGGGCCTCAGTAGTTTCAAGAATAGGTGAACAGCGCAATATAAAACACCTTTATTGTGCCAACACATTTGATCATTATTTGTCATTGATAAATCGTTCTACATCTACATCAATATTTAGTATTAGCTTCAGACTATTCATAACGAAAAAAAAATGTTTCGCAAATGTAAGACGTTTCAAATATCGTTAAGATTGTCAAAGCAAAGACCCGTAACTTTGGAAAATGCTTATTGCTTACAAGATTCCAAAATGCCGTTTTAGATTACCGTATATTATTTTGACACCGGCACAAGTTGCAGACATATCTGTGGGATAAGTACGCGTAGGGTACGGCACCTAATGTGTCCCACTGCGACTCCAAGATACAGGGTAACTGTAGACGCTTTCTGTTCCTTGGGTCTCCAAATAATGTCTTCAATCTATGCACCAACTGACCAACACACACTGCAACGTGTACACCAACAATCCCGTAGACTTGCGTTGAAAGAAACTTTATTATCTTGTTTAAACACATCTAATGTTGACGTCAGTGATAACAGTCTATTACAGTATTAGTGTTAGTGATAAATTGTCTGTTTTTGACAAGGACTCAAAGAACAGCTATAAGTATGCTATGATACAAATAAAAACAATAAGCGACATCTTCGATACAACAAAATACAGCAATCCTCACAACCTATCGGACAATATATGGATAAACATAATCATATCAATTCTAGAATTCCTACCTGATAATCATTTAGTAATATAACCAGAAAAGAGTAAAACCTATAACCTATAAAATCTGCAATCGCGCAGAATCCTCCCCAATAAGCAAAGCGCAACAAGCGTCTACCTCATGGCAAGGAAAGTTCTAGAAGGCCGTAAAGCGCGGGGGAATAAGTGACTATTACGTCACAGTAAAGATGGGCAATGTAAAATCATGAAGCGTGACTAACGGTGCTTAAAGTGAAGGACTCAAGGTTCCCTAAAATTGGTCTGCTTGCTTTTCAAACTCATACTTACAAAATAAGTTGCAAATTGATCGATTACAAAATTTTGTCAAATGTGAGGGTGATCACTAAATGTTCTGACACGCAGGCAGCATGTGTTGGGTTGGCTTTGGGTTGTTGTTAGGTTGGCGATTTAGGCTGGCGGCATAAGACAATGCTTTAGTTTAGGGGGTAATATTGTGAGGCCATAACAGCTATCAGCGGGTATAGCCAATCTAGGCTAATAGATTCTTCATTTGATTTTTTATGAAGCATATGTTATTAGCCTATATTTCCGACCAAAAATACAGAAAGCTTGTTAACGATTTAAGCCTGATAAGTACGTTACTTAACTTATCCGATTGTCTCAGCTAACCATAACATTAGCCAATTTAATAACCTTAGTGATGTAACAATATGTCAAAGGATTTTTATAATGAAAAACCACCACAAAATGCGATTTTTTGATTACCCTCTAGCTCTAGCAAATGCGACGCGCGCAACAGATAATGTGATTTTTGAGTACTCTGCAGCTAATATGACGCGGGCCACAGATAATGATGCTACAGTCTACGTGTGGTACGAGGGCCTGGGTTTGGACCATCTTGATATAAATCACGTGTTACATCACAGCAGAGATGGACCATTAAAAACCAACGAGACTAATTTTACAGTGTTTAATATTTGTCAATCAAAAAAACAAGACACAGGGTATAATTAAAAAGACTCAAAGCATTTCCATACAACGAGCATCCAAACATTTCGTACAGACACCGCGTAAAAATTCGTGATTTCAGATTTCATGAAACGGAAACTTCATGATGCTCACAATAAACTGCGCGGCATACTTTTAAACGTGACAGGAGAATCAACTGCCATTGTGTGTGAAGAAATTTCGTCTCAGAATTAAGAACGCAAGATTAAGTGTTGTCGTTTGATTAGAGTGGATTAGGATTTGTTTACACTATATTTTGATAACGCAGTACAATGTAGCTCTTGCCTACATGCAGACTAACTTTCGGAGTTTCTCTTCTTCAGTAATCGTGTTTTGCTACACATGCAATATGGACAACTGTATTCGCGTGAGGGATTTTGAAATAATGGCGGCCAAGCTATTACCAAAAGGACTTCTGAATTTTGTCGGATTTGGGGAAACTGACAGCCGAACTCTTGTAAAAAAATTATCAGGTTTCGATTCTTGGCGTTTTCAACAGAGGGTTTTAAGAGATGTTTCAAGAGTTGATACCAGCAGCTCTATGCTTGGAAGTAACATAAGCTTCCCAGTATGCGTTGCCCCTTTCGGTTTACAGAAAATGCCATCACAAAGGGGGGAAATTGACTCCGCCAAAGCGGCAGAAAACGCCGGGACTGGCTTTGCGATGAGTTTTTGGTCATCATGCACGATAGAAGAAGTCGCGAAAGCCGTTCCTAATGTTTTGCGATGGTTTCAGCTGTACATAACAAAAGATAGATTGGTTTCTAAGAATCTAGTTCAAAGAGCAAAAAGAAACGGGTACAGCGCTATAATTGTAACGGTTGATTATGTCGTTCAAGGTAAGGAATACGTTAACTTGTACAACGACATTGCAGCCAGCCCAAGTTTGGCAACTAAAAGTATCGAAGAGAACTTCTATAAGGTATTTTTTGAAGGGATGGACGTCTATGATTTGAGTATGGAACCAATCGATAACTTGGAAGGATATTGATTGGGTAAGAAGTATCTCTGATCTACCAATCATAATCAAGGGAATAGCGACCGTGGAAATGGCCTTGAAAGCAGTTGAACATGGCGTTGAGGCAATAGTCGTTTCAAATCATGGAGGACGGTCCTTACATAGTACAATACCTGCAATACACGTGCTACCTGAAATTGCAAAAGCTGTAAACGGAAGATGTGAAATTTATTTTGATAGTGGGATTAGAAATGGCGGTGATGTGGCAAAAGCAATTTGTCTTGGTGCGAATGCTGTTTTCGTGGGGAGGCCTATAATTTGGGGTCTTGCTTGTGGCGGGAAAGAAGGCGCTCAAAAAGTTTTGGAAATATTACGTGATGAATTTGAACTCACAATGAAATTGCTCGGAGTTACTTCTATCAAAGAATTACAATCTGTTCCCGAACTTGTCGTTCATGAGTCAAATATTTTGTCACGACTATAATCAGGTTTTTATCCAAGCTGCGAGGTCGCAGAAACGTTTCATTCGACTTTAGAGGTCTTTCAAATAATAGATGACAAATGTTGGACTAAAAAAAGCGTTTGCGAGTTTTATTTTAGTTTCAAACTCTTTTCGAGTTGTGACTTATATGATAAAATTCAGTTTCACGCAGCGGAATGTTTAAAATTTCGACCTGCAAAACTAAATTACTCCCGACTTTCATGCCAGAAAACGTTAGACTCTGCTGACCACTTAGGTTTGTCAAAGGAAATACGGGTTTATTTATTACGTTATTGCACGATGTACGCAAACGAATTACATGGCGTTGAGCACACGTATTCAATAATATATATATTATTTCATTACGCCGATCCTTTTCAGGTGGACTATTATACAATAAGCTATTACTGTTTTGATAATTTCATTCAACTGATTTTAATTTTTATATAGCTGTTTCATCAAGTCACGATTTCATTTCCCGTCATGGCAATTTCAGTTGGTGCTAACTTGGTATGCGATCTCGGTGATTTTAGTTAGGGTTATGAGCTGAATTCTATGAGAATGTTTTTACTAGATTAAATGCATACCAATATGGCACTGCAATTGATGTCGAAATGGCAAGCCGACACTGAATATCATCAATACAATTCTTATCTTCGACATGAGCTACATTTGTATTTCAATAGCACATGTTTACTTACTATATATATATACCAATTAAATCGAAGCAATGGTGTGTTGCACTGTAAATTCAAGAGATTTATTTGAAATATACCATATCTCGTAGAACGAATGTAAAGCGTATATGTAACACTTATTGTTCATAATCGTATAATCTTATATTCAGCTTTGGTTACTTTAGTTCAATTTCTTTTCTGTGCGTGTGTGTTGGTATAGCTATTGTACGAAAAATAACTAGCAGAGTGGAAACAGCTGTAAGGATGTAACGTAACCGTCATGACTCATGTCTGGCATCGGCACTCTTGAAATTCTAAATACGACCGGAAAAGATGTAGTATGATTTGTTGTACCGGTCCTTCAAACAATTTGACAAATTATACAGGCGAATTGTAGGAAATAATAGGTTTGGTTGCATTGATTCGACATTCTTTTTTTGTATGAAGCGTTCTGTGGAAAATGACCATCGGATTGAGAACAAGAGAGCTATGCTCAAATATATGGACACGTAGCGCCACCCAATGGCGATAATTTTGATGACGTCATAGCAAAAAAAAAAGTAATAGCCTTCTGGAGAAAAATTTTATCTTCAACCACTGAAAATTTCAAAGCAATTGGTCCAGTATTCGAAGAGAAAAGCGATTTTTTTAAAATGGAGACGGAGACAAATAACAATAACAACAAAATTTTGAAACGATCGTTATTTCCACTTCGTGTCCAACAACTGTGTAGGTAATTTATAATTATCGTGCTTAGTCGAGCAATATTTACTTTACTCATCTTGGTTTCACCGTGGTATTACAGCGATAAGTAATCATCGAAAAGAATCCAAACTTTGCGATAACCAATTAACATCGACGGGGCGACGCCGATTTTGCCCCGGTTGCTCATTGTATATCGTATTCTCTCTTTTATCTTCCACTCGCCGCGTTTGTCTCGTTTGTTTTCTGTTTCTTTTACTAAATCATAGGGGCTAGCCCCGAAATTATGACGACACAATGCCGACGTTTCTTACAACAACGTGTTGACATATTCACGCATTCCTTCTCGTTCGTTGGTTGTTTGAAGAGTTGATAGTTTCCTCGCCTTCGTTTTTGTCGCTCGTTTCGCTATTTGAATCAGTTAGAGACCTTTAGTCCATTTGCTTTCGATTTTCCACATTCCTTTTGAGCTCCTCACTTCTTTCAGGCTTCGCATTTCTTAGCCTTAGACCTCATAATGAATATGGTTGATGCACTACTTCGCACTCCGTTTTCGCAGCTGCCGCTGGAACAAAAATTAGAGGTACAACGTCTTGGGCCTTATCAACCAAAAAATTGTTCACTGGAACAATCCCATGACGGAGGAAAGCGTCGGCGTACATTCTGCGCAGAAACTTGGTATCAAAAACACGAATGGTTGTGTTACAGCGAGGACAAAAATGCACTTTTTTGTTTTTATTGCCTACTTTTTGCTACCGCCCGTGACTCACGTTGGTGTAAATTTGGTTTTAGAGATCTTAAACATCTTTCCGAGCGTGCCAGGGATCATCAATCTTCTATGGAGCATCTGGACAATGCAGTAAAATACCGAACATTCGGAAATGTTAATATTGCAGCACAGTTGGATGAAGGACGCGTGGTTTCTATTCGTCGGCACAACCAAAACGTCGAGAAAAACCGCCATGTTCTCGATCGATTGATAGATGTTTTGAAGTTCATTGGTTGTCACGAGCTGTCCCTCCGTGGGCACGATGAACGGGCTGGCTCTTCTAATAGAGGGGTATTTTTGGATATGGTGGAATACACCGCATCCCTAGATACAGTATTGAGAGATCATCTTGATGCCGCAACTGTTTCGAAAGGGACATCTAAGGATATCCAAAATGATTTGCTCGACTCAATGTATAAAATTTATTTACAACATTTGGCTCTGGAAATTGAGAATTGCCAGTTCCTTTCGATTCAGTCTGACGAGACAACTGACATCACGTGCGTTTCCCAACTGGCTGTGATTTTTCGGTTTGTGAAAGATGGTAAACCTACCGAGAGATTTCACAGCTTTGTACCAATCGTTGATCGCACGGCTTGCGGGATATCGGCTGTACTGAAAGAAGTGTTACAGCCTTACAACGCGAAGTCAAAATTGATAGCTCAAACTTATGACGGCCGCGGCAGTCATGAGTGGGTCGAAACATGGTGTTCAAGTTTATATAAAAGAAGATTTTCCTCATGCGCATTTTTTACATTGTTATGCACACCAATTTAACCTCGTTATTAAAAATATGTGTCTTGATACCCCACTCGTCCGTATATTTTTTGCAAATGTTTCGGGGTTTTCTTCATTTTTTTCCGTTTCGCCGAAGCGCTCTGACCTCCTTCGCCAGATATGTAGCCGCCGTCTCCCAGCTTGTGCACCAACACGTTGGAACTTCCAATCACGCGTGGTGCAGGGCGTGTCCAAAATTAGGTCTGAGCTCATTGAGTGTTTCAATGGCATTCAGAGCTCGCCGGTTTGGGACGAACGCTCTGTGAGGGAGGCGGCAGGTCTAAAGCGTCTGCTAGAAGATGGTGAGTTTTCATTTTTTCTCCACAATATTCTATCACGTGGATGTATTATACGGCGCATTGCAGTCAAGGCTAATGGATGGAGCGTCTGTGCAGTCGTGTATTTCAGACTTCTGCGATGCTGTATCTCGTATCCGGGAAACAATAAAATACGACGACACATGGAGTGCTTCTTTACGCCGCGGGCAAACAACGCAGCGTTTGATTTTGTCTGCAAAGGAATGCTGTGACATTCTGGTGAATCAAATAGGCGTTCTTCTGCGCACTGAACACCTTGCCGCGTTTTCTTTGATGAACCCCAAAAATGTTTCAAAATTTGCACGTCAATTTCCCATCCATTTGTTGGCTACTGTCTCCAAATTTTACCCCATGATAAACGTGGGTGAATTGGAAAATGAATTGCGATGTATATACACCAATCAAACTTTTTTGAACAGCACATCAACTTGCGCGCTCTATGGGTTCCTCATAGATAACACTCTAGTAACTACCTTTGCGGCGTCTGCAAAATTTCTGGACATCATTTTGACGACGCCTATTTCTTCCGCCGACGCAGAGCGAACATTCAGCACGCTGAAGCGTATTAAAACTAGAGATGTACCGATGTATCGGTATCGGGTATCGGTATCGGCAATATCGGCCATTTTTTCGGTATCGGCCAAGTATCGGTATCGGTTAGATTAAGGCCGATATTTCCGATATATTTACCTTTTTCATATGGTCCAGAATGTTTTAAAAGATAAGTTGGAATACTACTTTTTAATTTATTTTTTGTCTGGAGAGATCGTGAGCTATGAGCCATACATGTCCCCACATTTGCGAGAGTATAGGATGCACGTGTTTTTAGCTATTTATCAGCCAAACTAGCTCATCTAATTTGGCTATTTTCGCTGTCAAATTTTTATATTGACATTTATAATATTACATAGTAATTATGAAGAAATATAGACTGTTTGTCGTCAAGTACGAGTGTCATTTAGTCCGTCGACATCGATAAACTAAATTCCGACACAATTATCCCTCTACGCAAGTTTTAATTTTTTTAACTACACAATACCTTTATAGATATATTGATATGACCGCCTAGCCCTAGACTGTCTCAAAATATATGATAGCAATTGTATAATAATATAAAATAGTAAAGTAAAAAAACATCCTCGACGGTTATAGGTAGGCCTTCTTTTGGTCGGTGCTGATTGATATTCTTTCATGTAGGCTTTGACTTATTGCGTCGACGATTACGATTAGCCACGAAATAAAATATTTGTAAAATGCTTTTAATTTGAACGTAGGACGGCGGCGCTAGAATGTGTGGGTGATATTCGATATTCTTTCAAACACGAATAACGATATTCGAAGTTCGCGATATTAACATTAAATTCAAATTGGACATCCCGGCTTCTGAGTTTTCTAATTGAACACCGAGATTACTAGCGTTACTGTGCAATGTATCTTAATCAGTTAAAGCATATGGATACTAAACATTAATTTCATATTATGTGATATATCTTTTTTTTCGATCTGAAATAATGTGTACTATGAATAACGCTCAAAAACCATTGTTTTAACCCGTCTGCCCTACACAGCACACCTAATTAAGTAATAATTACATAGTATCGGTATCGGAATATCGGTAATATCGGCCTTTTTGTAGTATCGGCGTATCGGTATCGGTATCGGCGTTTTTAGCTGGTATCGGATCGGTATCGGTGACAAAAGTGGTATCGGTACATCTCTAATTAAAACGTATCTCAGAAACACAATGAAGCAAGATAGATTAAATTCCTTGGCTGTTTTATCCATTCACAGAGACGTTATTTCTGGGATGCATGACTTTAATCAGCGCGTTATTGAGCATTTTGCTTCCAAAAAAACGCGGCGTGTTGCATATATGTTCAAGCAGTAGAAGTCTAGCAGCATATATATCTATGAGTGAGCGACGCATGTCCTTATCTTTGCATTACCTTTCCTTTCTTCATAGTAACGTTTTAAACCTTATTTTAGGTTTTGTCTGATTTCCCGAAGTTTCTGTTAATATGTCATTGTATTTATCTGGGTAAATATTGCCTTTCCTTTTGAAAGAGGTTTCAAAATAAACTATGTCTATATTTATTAATCCCTTGACTTGGACCGGTTTTAAAGACACTTTCTTATCGTTAAAGATTTTCGCTTTTGCCGATTGGTTGTTACCGATGGAATGGTTTTTATACTCATAAAATGATGGGAGAACTTACAGCGCTCATCCTGTCCCCGTAGATGGGGGTGACTTGGTCCCGCAGTAGCTTGCCCCGGTTGTCAAAATGACCACGCGCCTCCACTGAGGGTTAGTATAAGTTCAAATTAGAGATGTACCGATACCACTTTTGTCGCCGATACCGATACCGATCCGATACCAGCTAAAAACGCCGATACCGATACGCCGATACTACAAAAAGGCCGATATTACCGATATTCCGATACCGATACTATGTAATTATTACTTAATTAGGTATGCTGTGTAGGGCAGACGGGTTAAAACAATGGTCTTTAAGCGTTGTTCATAGTACACATTATTTCAGATCGAAAAAAAAGATATATATATCACATAATATGAAATTAATGTTTGGTATCCATATGCTGTAACTGATTAAGATACATTGTACAGTAGCGCTAGTAATCTCGGTGTTCAATTAGAAAACTCATAAGTCGGGATGTCCAATTTGAATTTAATGTTAATATCGCGAGCTTCGAATATCGTTATTCGTGTTTAAAAGAATATCGAATATCACCCACACATTCTAGCGCCGCCGTCCTACGTTCAAATTAAAAGCATTTTACAAATATTTAATTTAGTGGCTAATCGTAATCGTCGACGCAATAAGTCAAAGCCAACATGAAAGAATATCAATCAGCACCGACAAAAAGAAGGCCCACCGATAACCGTTGGGGATGTTTTTTTACTTCACTATTTTATAATATTTTACAATTGCTATCATATATTTTGAGACAGTCTAGGGCTAGGCGGTCAAGTCAATATATCTATAAAGAAATCGTGTAGTTAAGCAGAATTAAAATTAATACCTGTGTAGTGGGATAATTGTGTCGGAATTTAGTTTATCGATGTCGACGGACTAAATGACACTCGTACTTGACGACAAACAGTCAGAATTTATACCGTGCCAAAAGTCCATGTGCCGTTAATAAGGAAGGACCCCAATTCCACTGTATGATTTAAAACTGGGCGCCTAGTTGCTTTTTGTTATGTGCTGTGTTGATATATTTCTTCATAAAAACTATGTAATATTAAAAATGTCAATATAAAAATTTGACAGCAAAAATAGCCAAAATTAGTTGAGCTAGTTTAGCTGATAAATAGCTAAAAACACGTGAATCCTATTCTCTCGCAGGGGTGGGGACATGTATGGCTCATAGCTCACGATCTCTCCAGACAAAAAATAAATTAAAAAGTAGTATTCCAACTTATCTTTTAAAACATTCTGGACCATATCAAAAAGGTAAATATATCGGTAATATCGGCCTTAATCTAACCGATACCGATACATGGCCGATACCAAAAAAATGGCCGATATTGCCGATACCGATACCCGATACCGATACATCGGTACATCTCTAGTTCAAATATCCGTAAAAAAAAATTTCATAGGTGCGATAGTGTGCAGGTGTAATTGTCGTGGGTCAAATAACGGGATCAAATGTAATGGAACCACTGGTATTAAATGTGTTTTGAATGAGAGAATAATGAGACTATCAATATCTTATGTCACGTCTTCTAATAGCCCGAAATCTAAATCTATAGACGAGACATATTGGAAAACATATCGTCACGCTAATAACCGAATTGCGTAAGTCATTTTTGGCGATTTTGAGTTTTTTATAAAATAGGTATTTATGTAATGCTGCGCACATGTCTGTTGACTCAGATTTTATTTTAAGAATTCCGAAACCCATAAAAATGGAGATTTAGTATGACATGCACATTTGTGCAATTGTTTCGTCATAATGAATTATCATTGTTACCGCAGGACTATTGTGACGTCACAAAGGCAAAATAACCTCGGCGAAGTATTTTCGAGTTTTTGCATCTCGGATTCTAGCTTAGCGCGTAATAATTTGAATTTATACTACAGTATAGGAAGACGTGCACTTGTGATATTCACTGTCAGAGTCCAATTCACCTTGGTTGGCTTTTATATTGGGTGCATTGCTGTTTTATTCTTTATATTTATTTAATCTTAGTCTTATTTCGGTGGGTGTGCAGAGCGTGTTATATTGATGAAATATATATTTTTAAACATAAAAAATAATGTAATTGAAACAGATTAGCTATTTTGAAGATTAGACATTGTAGATACTGAGAATTACATTCGTTTCTGGAATGTTTAGTTTTCTGGACTGGTGCATATAGTAAAGTTACAAAATTGCGTATGTCCCCAAGTCATAGACACATTTCTGCCTGAGTCACAGTGCGCCATTATGACGTCACTTAACTCCGTGATACAAATTAACTTAAATCCGGCTACGATAAAAAAAAAATTGAACCATGGCAAATTATTGACTCTCAATGGCATAACAATATCATTAGGAAGTTTTTTACGTTTTTCTCGAAACTGCTAAAAATTACTTACGCAATTCGGTTATTAGCGTGACAATATGGAACTTGCCACCTCTCCCCAAACTTTATTTACAAACAAGACAGCCATAAAATCGCAATCTTATTGTTTAGATGTCACAAATTCAACATATACGAATAATCAATAGCAGTAGGTCACTTTATACAGTTGGCAAAGGCGAAGAACAGCGATTTTCTCAAAGCAAAGAAAACACAAATGATTAACGAAGATCCCAGCACATAAACTACCAATCGGTGAATAAACTGTCTACGTCAAAGCAGCAAGCGCCGCGGATAATTTGGCAAACGCAGTAATCAGTTGTTTATTTTTTCACCTTGTTGAAAATACACAATCAGCATACAAATTACAATAAATGATAAATAAATAAATTGCAAGCCAACCCAAATTGTCGATGGCCCCTGCTATTGAAATCGACAGTTGTATCTCATATTGCTACAAAACCAATAAAGACAAAACTGTCACCAAACGTTTTCCGATCCGGATAAAGCAAATGCAATTAAAATACAACAGTTCAGCGATAATAGAGACAGCCCACGATATGGACAATTTCGACCAGCTTACAAGTCGAATACGCGATGAGCAGCCACAGCACGCGGCGGCAAAATATATGGCAAGAGAATTCAAACACTTAAAGTTTGAAATCCGACCTCAAAAACCTAGATTCATATTAGATTGATCGTTTACAACGTAATATCTGGTCTACATGCGGTCAGAATAACAAGGACAAACACAGCCACTACTTATAAAATGATAACATCAATTTACAGGGGATGACAATTTTTCTTAATTTAAATTGAAATTATCAGCTCTCATAGAAGAGATTCCTTGCAACGGTTGTTAATATCATCGTCCCTGCTGTCTGATGTTTTTAGGTTCAACTCATTTTTAATTTCTTCTCTGCAACAATCACGAACTTGAATCGATTTCCTAAGTTTCTAGAAAAAAGTCGAAATGTGTTAATTATAAACTTGAATGGAGAATAGTTGTGTAGCTTTTTTCAAATTTTTTTATATTATACGGTATAAAACAAAATACATTATTGAGATAAAAAAAATTGCACGAACAATACCTCACCTCCCAAAGTGTAGCGCCTTCTGTTCTGTACAGCACATACACTGCTCCAATAGGAATTGTTAGCATCGAACTCAAGGCAGTCATCCATCCTAAAGCATCCGCCCATGCAGGATAAACATACGATCGTCCAAGTGTGAGTGGGCGATAAGAAGATAACGAATATACTATTAGAGCCTGTTCAATCAAAATATCCTTATGAATTTGATCGACTAACAACTTAACAAGCGATCAATGCTCAAATATATGGACACGAAATTCGCGCAATAGTACGGCAAAACTGATCACCAAGTTTGCTAAAGAATGATCGGCGTTACGGAAACACGTGTTCCCATGTTTCATGACAATGTGTGTCCATGAATTAATATTAAACAGCAACATTTTGGGCCAAATAACGTGTCCCATGCAGGAAACAAAAATTACAACCCTCTAGCGGCCATCCTTCTAACAACAACAGTCACCCAAACAACAACAACGAACAGTCAGAAATACTATCCATATGCACACATCGTGTCCAATTATGTAACACAGGGATATGGTGAACTACGACATTCTTTTTTGTTCTATATGAATAGTAGGTGCTGTATTGGAATGCAATCTCAGCGGTTGTGGGATCTCAGTGATTTTGGGTCGGCCTAGGATCTGAATTCCGTGATAATGTCTTAATGTGATTAAACGCATACCAAGGTGGCAACACAAGTGGTACACGTCGGTTATGAGATCGCATACCAAAGTGGCACCCAATAGTCGAGTGCTTGATATACGCGACATACTTTGAATCAACAATTTCAAAATTGATTACCGTTGACAATGCGGGTCCGACAAATTTCAAGCAGATCTTCAACAAAATTCTCGAAACATCAAAACCCAGCATAAGTTTCATTTTATCACAAAATCGATCAACGCCATAAATCCAACCTATGGCTATAAATTCCACCAGTGAAATGAAGTACAGACACCATCCTGTTACTGCATATGAGTTGAAGATATTTAAAACATATATTCCTCCCTGTTAAAATCAGAAATTTTGTCCCTAAGCATTGATTTCAGAAAAAAATTGATTGTTCCGTAAAAGATATTCTTTACATTGCAATGATATTACCTCTGAAAAATATTTAAACCGCAATGTATTTGTACGAAATATTACCATAGTCAGCATCGGTAATGAAAGAATGAATAAAACTGCTGCAGCGACTCCAACCCAAATCTCGTTCGCCCATTTAATTCTGAAGAACCGAGGAAACTGATCCTTCATGCATGCGATGAACGTTTCATGGTAAACAAACTAAAAATTACAACGAGTATATATTACCATATAATAAGGACCTTTATTCATTTGCGTATTATTTAGTCTAAAATTAGTAATTCAATTGTGAAGTATTGCAAGCAACATGGCTGATATATCGAACGTAGACATACGTGATCACCATCTAAATTAATAACCCAGTTACGTTATGTTTTTTCCAATTTTACTGACACAAGTTCTCGAGTCCGCAACTAACAGTAGAAAGAGTCCTGTTACAAGAGTTCCAATTGATCACTGATAGCCTACGGGTTTTGTGAAAGGGACGTTAGTACAAAGTTAATAGTGAAATTAAATTAATTACTAGAACAACAAAACAAAATAAATGAACAAAACAAACCTGACTATCAAACCCAAGCAGTAGCAACATGACAAAGACAGTGCACACCATACTTGAGGCAGAGGAAGCAATGATAACGCTGTAGGATAAGCAACAAAAACGAGACCTGGTCCAGAATTTGCAACTTCCTCCACCGTCGTATTCTAGAAAACAAAAAAGGATTCTCGAATATACGGACACGAAGACCAGAACGAGGTAGTATTAACTCTTTTCTACAATACCGGTAGTCTGAACTCCAAATCACTGAGATGTGATCACGGAACACAATTTTCAATTTTTATGACGCCATCACACAAAACTTGAAGTGAAAAACAAATGTCATAGAGCCCACAGATATTATTTAAATAAATAAAGTAATAGCTTTCCAGCGACAACAACAAGCTGTAAAGCGTTTTTTCACAACAACAACATATTAACAAAACGATCCATTGGTCCATTTCGTGTCCAAAATTGAAAATTTGAAATAAAACTGTAGGTTGAAAATAAACTACATGAAACACAACCACTTTCTATGACAGTATGGATTGAATCATTATCAACTGACATCGATAAACAGATCAAAATAGGGACGTATTATCGATCCAATTCTCTATGAATTTTGCTGAAAGGTGGAAGTTCTTAAAGTTTAAAAGTGTGCAATATAAATACAACTTATTACCTTCGAATAAGCAAGAAATCCGAGTATGGAGAACGTTGCGAATCCAGCAAGAAAGCTTATGACTGCATTTAGCAACAATAAGAAATATTGAATCCCTGTTAAATAAAAAGCAGAAAAATTTGCCCGAGTCATAAAATTTTCGCTCCGTTTTTTCAGCAACCCCATCAGAAGAGTGAGTTTGTTCATTTGCAACTTTTGTTTTGTGTTTTTGCCAATTTGCTTGGAAAAGTGATGCCAATCCTGAACTAAGATTGAATAGGTTTGCTAGTTTTTTTTTTATATCAACTGCGGGAAAATCAGTCCAACGTTCGAAAGCGTCACAGACATGCGAAAGCGTAGACTAGTTCGATCATCTGAACTTACGGAGATTCTGATAGATCAAAATATACCTTAAAAAATTGTGATTAAATTTGTTGTATTGTCGAGTGTCGCAATTCCTCCAGCACAAACTCCAACAGAAAATAAAATTTGATCAGCCGCATCTCGCCAAACCTGAAATCAATAAATTTCAAATTATAGAGGAGATATATATATATATATGGTGTCCATGGAGTCCTAATTTTTTTTTTAATTTTAAAGATAATTTCTCGATACCATATATTGTTTTGGCCCTCACAGATGTATCAAAAGAGGTAAAAATACAATTACTGATTAAAAACAATAAATCTGTTTAGGATATATTGAGAACTGATTTCATAATAAAATTGAAACTGTAAAGGGACTTTATGAACACCCTGTATATATATTTAAAATAAACGTTGGTGTTATGCCACAGTTCTCATGTCAGCAGATAGGTACTAGTATAAACTTGTATATTAGTAATTCATCTGCGCTTACTTCTACATCGGTCAACTTTGTTATATTCGGGCTGAGATATAAATCAATACCGTCTTGCGCTCCATCTAAAGTCACTCCTCGAACGAACCACGACAATCAACATCGCAAATGGCAACGAGACTGTGAAGTAAACGATCTGTAGAAGAAAAATAAAATCGAGTAGAAACAATAGGGACAGTTTGTGCACTAGACAGATTATTGGTCTACCACTATTAATATGAAAAAATATCATACAATAATTTGGCTATATACAGTTCATTCCTAGCACCTAATTTCAAACAGGATGAAGCACCCACACCAATTTTTTGACAGCGATTCCCTTTATTTGAAACTACAACTATGCATTTTCTTAGAAGCATAAACTTTAACCCAGTTCGACTATGGTTTTTCACTGGCGAAAGACGAAGAAAAGATGATGCCAACCTTACTAGTCCATTGAATTCCTTTCCAAACGGCAAAGTAAGCGAGAATCCATATAACTGCATGGCATATAAGAAGGTCATATTTCATTTCTCCCAAATTTTCAATTTCATCTGTCATCCCAAGGATGCGATTGCTAAAATCAAAACGTATATTATATTGCTTACAACCAAGATATAGTTTTTATACTATTGTAATTCTATTTGATATATTCAACATAAGTAATTTATGATATTGTATTATTCCGCTAAAACAATGCGCGAAAAAATTCTCCTGGGATGTTTTAAATTCATAAAATAAAATTAAGCACCAAAAACGTAGCCTACTTCCAAAATTCTTCAACGGAAGATTGTACTGTTGTTGAATTTATATACAAATCTGTCCTGTTCTTTGATCCAGTTATATTCACCTTGTTAAATAAATGTTAGAAAATAATTCGAAATGATTAAATTAGAGCAATGTACAGGCATATTGACACGAATTCCCTTTACTCGGAGGCAACAGAATATCCATGTGGAGTGGTGTCGCATAATCGAGAAAATTTTTTTGAAAATCAGCAAAATCTGAGTTGAGGCAAAGAGCATAAAAACACAAAATATAATAGTATAAGCAGCGTTCAAGTAGAAAATTTCACTGCTGCAAATTTTTGTAATATTTTAAAGAAGAGCATGTTATAATTCAACCACCTTCACAATCACAATTCCTTAACTTTGTGTCCGAAATCGAATATTACAAACAGCAAATGCAGAGTGATAATATGAGATGAAAACTGTGACGCTCTGTCCAATTACTTACAAGTGTGTCGTGGCTACAGCAATTCAGTCATCACTAGCTCTATCGGTACTCCCAAAATATGTGAACCATGCAAGATGGCGGACACCGGAACGTAGTATGTGTACCAGTTAAGGTTTGGTCATAACTTTATCCCAATTTTCCTTATTTTTGTTCTATTACGAGTTCGGGGCCTACCAAGTGACTCCCGTAGTATTTCTACCTAAAATTATGTCACAACCCTAATCTGGGACATATACTACGTTCTGGTGTCCGCCATCTTGGTTCACATCATTCGGGAGTACCGCTTTATCAATGTGAGAACTACGCTAAAGAAAATTCACAAACAGAACCAAAACAATATGCTTGTTCTACGTTACATATAGATTACCTCATTTTCGATAAACAGTGGAATGCAACTGTTCGTATTCCAGGTATTATCGCATCGTGTCCAAGATAAATTCTCAGTGACGGACGCAACAATCCATCGAAGAGTCCAAGTTAACAACACGGGGTAGTAAACATTGCATAAAAACATAATGATGGGGGACGCGAACCCCATTCCTTAAATATAAAACATTCCATGCTTAGTTTGGTTAGGTTGGTTAGTTAGATAATATCGATACGAACATAAATGATACCATTATCAGCAAATTGGGAGTGCAAATAGGGATGTCCGATAAATATAGCTTAAAAAACTAAAAAAAATTAGTTATAACCTAAGGTTGGGGTTGGGAACTGAATTCTACGAAAATGTCATTATGATATTAAAAGCATTTTATAGCATCAAGTATTCTATATAATCACAAAGTTTCCGTTATTCCTTCCCTCAGGACTATTGATGATTAAGTTGCGTAATGCGCCATTACTAATATATTACTTAATTAGAAGACTGATTGCTTGAGTGTTTGCATTCCCCGAATTTGGGCAGTATGGATAAGTTATTAACAAGCATCAGTTGGTTTACGTGACAATAGTCTATCATTCGTTCACTCGCATGTTGTGTATTTTAATGATGTTGAGTGCCAGATGTAGAGTTGCGGGGGATTAGGATGGAAGATCCGAAGAATAAATGAAGACACAACCATACTATGTTATTACAATTCTCTGGAGATTGATCGCCCTTCTCTACGAATCATACAGCAAAAACGACAATATTCCACCGTTTATTGAATATATATATTAAATATGGGACATTGTTAGCAAAATATGTTTCATTTTATTTAATCCGTGAAATAGCTATCAACCTAGTGTTTCGTATAGCTAAGATTGCTGAATAAATATGATCACAATGCTTTCGACTTATACACGTCATCTGAAGACATGCAGCAGACTCTCCATTATGATGTCACAATTCCCCGACAACTAATCATTCTTATTGCCGGGAATAGGATAGAAAGAATGGTTTTATTTTGCACTTTTTCCGATCTAGATTATCGTTTGACCATTGGTAATAATTATGTGACAGACTTATTAAAATTACAAATACTGTACACATGTTGTATTTTGGTAATTCCCCAAGGACATCGCGACTGTTGTGGTTAAATATGAACATGCATATGAACATTAGCTTGCAAATGCAGACACGGCCGAAATCCCAACAAACTTCATATTGTTTTATCACTAACTCGTTGTTATGTTGTTAGTGTTGTTGTTGTTGTTGTTGGGCGACTTTTTTGGTGCGGAAAAATCGCTTTTCTCTGCAATTAATAAATCAATCGCTTCCAAATTTTAGGTATTAGGGAAGAAAGGTGTAACTATCATTTATTTTATTTTTTTTAATTTGCCCCGAACCCCATGAAATCAAACTATGTCGAATTCAATAGTTATATGGGTTGTGGAAACTCAATGCACGGAAAGGTCTGCTCTATATATCGAATATATTACCTGAAATCAATGGGATGATCTTCCACACTTTCACAGCACTTCGTCCAGTATACTGCCCCAAAGCACTTTCAATCAAAATCAATGGAAGGATCATAAAGATCGCAAATATCAAGTAAGCGAACAAGAATGAACCTGTGTCAAAACAAAATATTTTTTTTATTATTATATTTACACGTTTTCGATTTAAAAAGTCTGGTGAAAACAGTCACTTATATATAAATATACGGAAAGATGGATAATGCTTCAAGTTCGGCACACCTGACAAAATATTTATCCATTGGGCAAGTTTGAGGCAATCATCGTGCTTGATTTCAATTTTACAATATTACCAATACTAAAACCAAATTATGAATTTGCACGATTGTAAATATTGACAGTTCATGAATTCGACTTCACGTCCGCCAATGCATGGATAATGGAAATAATAGAGCTAACAATCATACGTAGATGAAGTTATATTCGATAGTCGACTTTTCTTCAAAGTTTAAACGCTTTAACAGTAAAGAAGTTAAAGAGCTATCTAGTATAAGCTACGAAAATTGCATACCTCCTCCATTTTTGTAGCAAATATATGGGAATCTCCAAACATTACTAAAACCAATCATAACCCCCAGTAGATTAAATATGTAATCAAAATTATTTTTATAGGTTTGTTTCTGAACTTGAACTTCTTTCTTGTCTTTTAAATTGTCCATTGTGAAAGCTAATTGCTGTAATATATATGAAATATTCAAATTATTTAGATGATGCATGTGACACACAACAGCAAAGTAAACTTGCACAAGCGAATTAAGCTATATTGGCCGAAATTACTGACCATTAATCTTTGTAAAATGCACAATGCTATACGGAATACTGGATAATCGGTCGAGATCATTTGCCCCCTGGAATATATCCCACAGAAAAAGAGTGAATTGCCAATGGGTAACACGGATAGTATAGCCTTGCGACAATTAGTTCATCACAAGCCAACCTATATTTCGAAAACAAAACAACGAATACGAGTCAGGAAAACTGGAACTCGAATGAAATAAAATAGTTTTTTCCGAAATGGATGTATTAAATATTTTGACGCGCTAATTTTTCAATTTATTCTTACAAACATAGGTAGGAAAACACGCGCTCATAGAAATGCAAAGTAGATAACTTAAAATAGATGTTATCAGAAATATTGAATCAAGAAATATGAATTGAATACTATAAAATAATATGTAAGCTAGTTGACTAACTCAATAAAGGAATACCAGCTAATCCAGCAGTCACCACGTCTTTCGGGCGCCATTACAAACAAGAAAAAGGTTAGCGGAATTAGTTCTCAAGTTGATGTATTTCAGTATATTATCTTTCCTGTTTATCTTATATTTCTGTTCCGCCCTGTCTATATTTTGTCGTTTCCAGCGGCAGTCTGAGCTGTTAGAGTCGACCGACCGATTAATCAAGAAGCCGATTGTAGAAACTCGACGGTTACAAATAATCTTTAACGTTACGTTTCGTCTCAGATA